GTGAGCACTTGCAGTGCTGCATCTATTTGTTGAAACATCTCACTTGGTACTCTATCAATTCCTTGAGCCTTATTTTTTGCCAATGCCTTCAGTGCAGCTTGGACCTCTTCCTTCAGTACCATCAGTTGTTGATCATATGCTACCTCCTGAAATGGTTGAACATTGACAAATTTTTTTTTGGTACAATAACTCTGTGTATTTCTTCCATCTTCTTTTGATGCTCCCTGCGTTAATGTTTTCCCTGTAGAATTCTTCAAGATTGCAACTCAAGGCTTGGATTTTTCTTTCTGCTTGAAAAATATCTAGTATATTCTTCCTTTTTGTTTTTCTAACTCTAGCTCTTTGTACATTTCATTATAATACTTTACTCTGTCTTCTTGAGCAGTCCTTTCAAATCATTAGAGAAATGAAAATAAAAACTACAATGTGATACCATCCCACCCTGACATTACTGGAACTAATAAAAAATAAAAACAGAAAATAATAAATGTTGGAGAGGTTGTGGGGAGATTGGCCCTCTTATGCATGTTGGTGGTAATGTAAAATGGTACAACCACTTTGGAAAACGATATGGTGCCTCCTTAAAATGTCAGAAATAGAAATACTATACCATCCAGTAATCCCACTCCTAGGAATATATCCCAGAGAAATAAGAGCTGTCACAAGAATAGACATATGCACACTCATGTTCATTGCAGCATTATTCATAGTAGAAACAACCTATGGGCCCGTCAACAGATAAATGGATAAACAAATTATGATACATACACATAATGGAATATTACACAATAATAAAGAACAGTGATAAATCCACAAAACATCTCACAACATGGATGAATCTGGAGGGCATGAGTGAAATAAATCAATCACAAAAGAACAAATATTTTATACCACTATCATAAAAACCCAAGAAAATGTTTACACACAGAAAAAAAAATATTTGATGATTAAGAGGGAGAGGAAGGATGGCATGGGAGAATCACTAACTAGACAGTAGACAAGCGTCTACTTTGGTGAAGGGGAAGACAACACACAATATAGGGGAAGTCAGTACATCTTGACCAAGGCAAAGTCTTAGAAGCTGCCTAGACAAATCCAAACACCTTGAGGGACAGAATTACTGGGGCTGAGGGTTGGGGGCCATGGTCTCTGGGGACATCTAGCACAATTGGTATAACAGTTCATAAAGAAAAGGTTCTACATCCTACTTTGCTGAGGAGTGGCATCTGGGGTCTTAAAAGCTTGTGAACGCCCTCTACGATACATCTATTGATCCCATCCTGTCTGGAGCAAAAGAGAATGAATAAAGTCAAGACACAAGGACAATATTAATCCAAAGGGCTAATGAATCACATAAACCACAGCCTCCACCAGCCTGAGCCCAGAATAATTAGATGGTGCCTGGCTACCACCACTGGCTGCTCTGACTGGAATCACAATAGAGGGTCCCAGACACAGTGGGAGAAAAATGTAGAACAAAATTCAAATTCCCAAAAAAAAAAGACCATACTTACTGGTCTGACAGAGACTGGAAGAATCCCTGAGACTATGGCCCCCAGACATCTTGCTAACTCAGAACTGCCACTCCTGAAGTCCACATTTCAGCCGAAGTTTGACCTATAAAACAAACAATAGCACGTGTGAGGGGCATGCTTCTTAGTTCAACCAGTTGCACGAAACTAAATGGGCAACACCTACCAAGAAGCAAAGATGAGAAGGCAGGAAGGGACAGGAAAACTGTAGGAATGGACATGGGGAACCCAGGGCATAATGGGAAAGAGGGAGAGTGCTGACACATGCGGGGATTGCAACCAATGACAAAAAAAAATTTGTGTACAAAAGTTGAGTGAGAAACTAATTTGTGCTGTAAACTTTCACCTGAAACACAATAAAATTTTTAAAAAACTAATCATGTGTAAAACAGATACAGCAGTTTGTGGTGGACACAGACCTGTGTATGGTAGATACAGATATCTGAATGGTTGGATACAGACCTCTGTGCGGTTAGACATAGACTTACGGCTTGTCAGACTCAGATCCTTACGTGTTCACATATTGACTCATGCATGATCAGATACAGACCCATGTGTGGTCAGATACACGTATGTGTTTATATATAGACCCATGTGTGACTTTAGACAGACACCTGTATACACAGATACAGGTTTATGTTTCTTTGGATACAGACCTTTGTCTTTGGTTGTGATAATTGTGTAGTAACTCTTGCCAGCAAAAGACACTGAATCCTTTCAGATCAACTCATTGAAAATGTGAATCAAATGTATATGAGAATTTCCTTTGTAAATAAGAAAACAAAAAGGCAAGTTGTCTGTACACTCCATGGAGCTAACTACAAATTTTACTGAGATTTTTAAATCAAGCCTTCACAATATGCTTCTTCTTCTGGATCAGAAACCTAGATTATTATAACATACCTTTTTTTTTCAATAGAAGTATTTCAAGACATGAAATTCTAAATTTAATTTTTTAGGAATTTTTGAGCCTTATAAAATGACTTTAAGATTAATCAGGAAGAATTACTATTTGGGAATTGCAAGAAAATGCTTTAAATGGATGAGTAATAAGGGAGATTATCCCTACCAGATATCAATAAATATGCATTAAAAATCTTCGATCACTGAAATAGTGTGTTAGTGGTAGAGGATTAAACAAAAAAAAAAAAAAAGTAGAAAAAATTGTGAAAAGATTCAACGAAAACAAATAAATTACAAAGTTTATGGAGTGAATTCTACGTCCCAGACATTGTGAAAGAAACAAGAGCACAAAGACAATTAAGGAAATTTTCTGCCTTCAGGAAAATTACAATGAATATAAATAGACAACTGACCAAGATTTTTATCTCATCATTCATGTAACTATGCAAATTTGAAAATTATCTAAATTTCCAGAACTGGAGAACTTAATTATGTAAACTCTGGTTCAACCAAATTCTTGATATTGTTTGGTGAATAATGTTATGCTTAGGAACAGTTTGAGATGATACAAGAAATATCCATATAATATAAAATTAGGAATAAAAATAAAGTTACAAAGTCATGCATACCAGTAAAAAGTGCCCATTCTCCCATGCCCTTAGCCCCTAATTGAACCAAACTAATCGGGGAGGCAGGAACCACGAGTGTCTTTGATCACATGTTCCTAAAATATTAGGGGTAGGTAATATTTTATTTTAAGCCTGATTCAGAGAGAGAAAAGTTCACAAAGATTTTATGATTGAGACCTCTGTCAAACAGAACAATATATTCTGATTTCTTTATTACCTAATAATCTGCATTCCTGTAGTAAGAGATTGAGAATGGAAACAGTACAAATTGTCGGCATCGTTCTTGACAATAAAATCATGTAAAATAATCCAGTGTCAAGTTCTGTATTGTATATTTGAAGCACATTGATTATGGATTTTTTCTAATATTACATATGAAAGGCAAGGTCTGTGTCCCCATTAGAAAGCCATGAGACACTATAAGCAAGAAGAAGATGGGGATATTAAAAATAATAAAGCTATCATCAGATATTTTAAACCTTCAGGGAAGATGAATAGATTATCTTTAGAAAAATATAACACCAAACACAGCTGGTCCACTTGAGGAGATAAGATGATTTCCCAATTGGGAAAAGAAGTAAGATTTAGTCTTTTATCTGTGTATCTGCCTTGTTTATTTTGATTCTTTTTATATATTTAGACTTCTTAGGTTTAATATGAATAACAGAAGGTTCCCAGAGTGGCAAAAATGGTTAAGTGCTCAACTACTAACAAAAAGTCTGACAGTTCAGGCACAATCAGAGGTGCCTCAGAAAAAAGTCCTGGAGCTCTGTTTCTGAAAGTTCAGAGCCATGAAAATTCAAAGAAGTGCAATTCTGCCATCTAACACATGAGGTCGCCATAAATCAAATTGACGCAACTGTAACTGGATGATTAATATTAGAACTCTGAAGCCTCCTTCCTCTTCAACCTCAACATACTAAGCAAAATAAGCAAAACTAAATATTTTAAATGCCTTACTGATACAACAATAAGAACATATAGTTCAAATGTTAATATGGGCTGTCTCTGTTTGGGGAGGTGTCTTAGTCATCTAGTGCTGCTATAACTGAAACAGCACAAGTGGATGGCTTTAACAAACACAAGTTTTATTCTCTCATAGTCTAGTAGGCTAGAAGTCCAAATTCAGGTCGCCAGCTCAAGGGGAAGGCTTTCTCTCTCTGTCAGCTCTGGAAGAAGGTCCTTGTCATCAATCTTCCCCTGGTCTAGGAGATTTTCAGTGCAGGGACATTGGATCCAAAGGACACGTTAAGCTTCTGGCACAATTTTCTTGGTGTTATGAGGTCCCCCTTTTCTTTACTGGCTTCTCTCTTTTAATTCAAGAAACAACCTAATCTTTTAAATTGAGTCCTGCCTCATTAACATAACTGCCTCTAATCCTGCCTCATTGACATCATAGAGGTAGGATTTATAACACCTAGGAAAACCACATCACATGACAGATGGTGGACAATCACACAATACTGGGAGTCGTGGCATAGCCAAGTTGACACACATTTTGCAGGGACATGATTAAATCCATGACAGAAGGGTTGAATCATGTTTTTATGTCTTATTTTATTATTGTGAAATCAAGACCTATTAATTCTGAAAAAGGATTAAATTTCTTTAAGAAAGAGACATGAGAAAATTCTCCATCAACTAAAACAAATTTTTGGTATTAACTGTAGCATAGCTCATCACATAGAATATAAATCTATAGTTGCAACAGAACCATTTTACACCTCAAAAAATTAACATAAATTTTCCAAGAAATGAAAATCTTAAAAATACATTTTGAACAAAACTAGTCATAGGAAGTATAGACATAATAAATATTTTCAATCATTTATAAGTTATTAAATGGGAAGAAAATTTTACCACCATTATAATTACACCGGGCACTTCTGAAGGAGCAATTCTTCACTGAAAGTAGGTGATGCATTTGTCTCCCAGCTTATTTGCATTTTCTGGTCCAGAGCTTCTTCATGGCATTTTTCATCTCTGCATTTCTCAGAGTATAGACTAAGGGGTTCAACATAGGGGTGATGACAATGTAAAATACAGTCAAAGATTTATCAATGGGTAAGGTGGAAGGAGGTCTCACATACACAAAAATACAAGGGACAAAGAAGAGGACCACCACAGTGATGTGGGAGCCACAGGTGGTTAAGGCTTTACGCCTCCCTTCTTGACTCACGTTCTTTAGGGAGTGCAGAATGACTCCATAGGAGATGAGTAACAGCATAAAAATGACCACACATATTGCCCCATCATTGGCAACCACAGTGAGACCAATGACATAGGTGTCAGTGCAGGCAAGTTTTAATAAGGGGTACATGTCACAGATGAAGTGGTCTATGACATTGGGACTACAGAAGGGAAGGTTGTAAACAAAGAGAAGCTGAACTACAGCATGCACAAAACCGCCAACCCAGGCCACCACCAGCAGCAGAACACACACCTGTTGGTTCAGGATGGTCATATAATGCAGGGGTTTGCAGATGGCCACGTAGCGGTCATAGGCCATGACCACCAGAAGTAAAATCTCAGCACCACCAGATAAGTGTCCTACAAAAAGCTGAATCATGCAAGCTTGAAAGGAAATGGTTTTCTTCTCATAAACTAAGTCTATAATCATATCTGGAGTAACTGTAGTAGAATAAACAGCATCCATAAATGATAAGTAGCCAAGAAAAAAGTACATGGGAGCATCCAGTGTTGGGCTGACCACCACAGTCACAACAATAAGTAGATTGCTCACCATTGTCACAATGTAGATGAGCAAGAACACAACAAATAATATTTTCTGACCCTGGAGACTCTGAGTGAGCCCCAAGAGGACAAACTCAGTCACATTGTTCCTTTGTTCCATGTGTTCTTCTGTGTGTCCTTATTTCAGAGTTCAGGACAAATTTACCTGTAAATATAATGATGAGCAGTGATTTTTTGAAATCTCAAGATAACTTCTTTATTCATTCAACAATTAGGCATTATGATTTATTATGTTTTTTAACACTGCCCAAGATGATAAGACTATAAGGCTGATTTATTAAAACATGGTCCCTGACGTCAGTGACCATATGGACTAATGGAGAGACAAATTATGAACATACATGGGAAAAGGACAGATTATTAAATAATGGGACTTCACACTAACTTCCGTCTGGAAGAAAATAAAATTGTATATAACCAGTACCATAAACAAAAATAAAATAGAAATCCAGTAAAGATTTAATGTTAAAATAAAGTACAATTTACTTTACTTTCATGTCAGTAAAATAAATTATTTTCTACATTCTAGGACTGGAAGAATCTTCTTAACTAAAGGGAAATCTCAATTAGACATAGCTGACAATTTCAAATTTTTAAAGGACTTTTAAAAATACAATAAACACAGTCCATAGACAAAAAATATCTTGGGGAAAATATGTACATTTTAGAGAACATACATAATATTAATATCTAAAATAGACAAATAGTTCTAACTAGTTAACCAAAAAAAAAGACAAACAACCTCATAACAAAGTGGGCAAAGGATATAAACAAGCAATTAAGAGTACATCCAAATGGCCAAGAAACATATGATAGAATGCTGAAACTCACCGGTAAATAGTGAAATGCAAAATAAAATAACAGATATCACTTTGCACCCATTAGATTGACAAAAAAAAAAATTTTTTTAAGTATTAATAGTTATGACTGGCAAACATAGAGAAAAGGGCTTTCTCTTCCATTGCTAGTAAAAATGTTAATTTTATAATATTTTTGGAACAAAATCTAGCCATCTCTACTGAAAATATACATATACTTTTCATCACAACAATTACACTCTTTAGAATCTATCCATAGGAAGTAAGGAACCACTACATAAGATATACTCATGGTATGTTTTTGCTATATTATTTATAATGGCACTAAATAACAAATGCAAAATAAAAAAAAAACTAAGTGAATTCCAATCAATAGAGAAATGGGTGATTATACCTAAAAAAAATCAATTAAATGGAATACATACATTTAAACGAATGAATTAGAACTATGCTGGTACTGTTAGAGAAATTCCCACAAGGTACTGTTGAGCAAGAAAGAAATGAGCATACAACTATCACTAATATATTATTATAAAATAAAAATATAAATGTAACAGCTTATAAATGTTTGTATATGATTATATGAGCATAGGAAAAATATGGAAGGAAACATTTTTGTTGATGTTATAAACAGGTTACATTTGTGCTGATGATGAATGTGAAAGAATAAAATGATGAGAGGGCAGATTGCAAAAAAAGAAAACTGCACACATACAAAAAAAGATATGTCAACAAATTATTGATATTCACCAGCCTTTTATCTCTTAAAATAATCCTAGTGATGATAGCCAGATACTTTCTAAGTCTCTACTGACATTGACTTCAATATCTGAGCTCATGATTCTGCCCTACCTCCTCCTCACAATACATGGATTGTCTGTATTTCCAACTATGGCTAAACCCTCTGCATGTGCACTAGGTCCCACAAATGGCTAAACCCTCTGCATGTGCACTAGGTCCCACACTCTTTATCACACTCAAAACAGTGCCCCTGTAACTGTCTCCTCCATATTCTACATTATTAGTTTCCATCTCTATTTTGCATTATTCTGTCCACATATTTATAAAGTATAATATCTCCATTGCTTAAATAATCTATCCCCCAACTCCACATCTTTTTCAAGTGAGCAACCCAATTCTCTCTTCTTCTTCATAAAAAACACCTACACCTTGCTAAATCCAATGGTCCATTACACTCCTTTTCTTACCCAGCCTACCATTCCTATGGAATGAAGAGCTTGCTTGATAATATCACCTGAGGTTCTTGAAAGTCAATCATTCAAGTTTTACAGACGCTACATCATTTTCTAAGAATGAAAGGATTAACAAACAATGCTTCAGAACACTACAACTGATCCTACAATATTTACAAATGTCTGCCCATTAAAGTATCCCTCAAATAGTTACACTTAAATTAGTTTCTAAGAATACTAATGTTAGAGAAAGTAAACGTACTCTGGATCTTTATAGTAAGAAAATATCCAAAGGAGTATTACAGAATTGAGTCAATATGCATATATTTTATTGATCACAAAATATCTCTAACTTGTCTGATTATCGGAATCACATAGGAGAACTTTTTTAAAAAGTCTATGACATTCCAAATCACACTACCAATGCACTCTTGCATAATCTAAAGCCTATTAAAAACTCTTATGTATAAAAACACTTCCTGGGTTACCTGCATAATGAGGTAGTCATTCAACCCAAATTCTGGATTGTGGTGCCTTTTCCCTTTTCCTAAAAGATAATATCTTCATGCACTTATGCCATCTCTGTGAACACAGAAAGTAAGATAGAACATGAACCGTCTCCGGATCAAGAAATGTTTCCAAGAGACCAACTCTTGCCATGCTTCAGGAAGTCTCTCTCATCTCAGCCTTTCAGAAAAATGGTGCCTTTTAAGTTGTTGGGATTTTCAAGATGAATATCAAAAATGTCCTGCAACCAAAAGAAGTCTGAATCTTGATTGTAAATACTAATGTGAAACAACTAATATGAGGTTTAAAAAAAAGTCAATTCTGTGAAAGAAAAAGTCATGAATTGTTTAGATAAATATTTTACAGTTTGTGTTTTGGAAGTGAAATAGTGAAATAGCCTTTACAGCATTTTGATTCTCAATCTGATATACTGGCCTGACTTCATACAACATAGCTGAACTTTGGTTTCCTTGAAGAATGGAGAATAATTTCATGTCCATTTTTTGTTATGCTTTGAGTCCATCATTTCAATTCCTGAAAAAGCCAGTCATGTAAATAGTCATAGAAACAAACACTCTCTGCGGTAAGGACAAAAGTTTACAGACGCTTTATTTACACTTGAACTACAACACATATTGTTGAGTCATTCAATGGGTGCAAAACCAAGGGCGACTTTACCCTAATTAAACTCACTGGGACATTAATCATAATTTTGAGAGTAGATTCTGCATCTACAGAGATGGCACAAGGATAATCACCCTCATAGAACATGACTTACATGACCAAGTTCTCAGGGGAGAAAATCACAAAAGAACAATCTCAGGACAAATTACCCAAAGGGAAGAAGACAAGGGTGGGCAGAATTTGAATATGTAAAAATTACGACCTTCAAAATACAGTGCTTTGGGTGTGTAAGTTTAAGCTACACATTTGTAGATGACATTTGAACTTACTCCCAGAGGACCATGAAAGTTAATTTCAGAACAAGTCATTGAAAACTTGATTCAAATGCATATAAAGCAGGGTTCTCACCTGTTATGGATTAAATTGTGTCCCCCAAAATGATATGCTGAAGTCCTAACCCCTGTACCCGTGAATGTGACTCTGTTTGAAAATAGCGTCTATGAAGATGTTTTCAATTAGTTTAACATTAGGTCATACTGGAGAAGTGTGGGTTCCACACAGAAACAGCTGAAGGATGCCATGTGATGCTACAGCTGCAAGGCCAGGAATGCCTGAAGCTACTAGAAACTAGGAAAGAGGAGTAGAACTAATTTTCAGTCAAAACCTCAGAAGAAATCAACAAGTCACCCTGACATAAGATTCTCAGCCTTCAGAAATGTGAGACAATAAATTTCTGTTGTTTAAATCCACCCACTTTGTAGCATGGCACCCCTAGGAAACTACATCCCCCTAGCAGTAAAAGTCTTGACTCTGTCGCAGACAGAGTTTCAGACAGGCAAACTGGTAAAATCCATATTGAACATGAAAATAAATATACATATATAAAACTTTTAAAGGGATAACTTGAAAATCCATGAGTTCTAAGTCCTTATCATACAGGCCTTTCTGTGGAAAATATTAACATTCTTTGTTTCTACACAAAGTTTCAATGAACTGTGTTGGTGTGGAAGAAGGAAATTCCATCACTTGGAAATGTGCATAAAAAGAAGGAAGAGTAACAGAAATTGCAGAGTTCTGGTTGTTTTCTTTACATTTTCTTGCTTTCTACCTCTACTTTCCAAAGTAAATCTATTGCTGTCAAGTCGAATCCGACTCATACCGACCCTGTAGGACACAGCAGAACTGCCCCACAGGGTTTCCAAGGCATAAATCTTTACGGAAGCAGACTGTCACTTCTTTCTCCCATGGAAAGGCAGGTGGGTTCGAACCTCCGGCCTTTCAGTTAGCAGTCGAGTGTTTAAGCACTGTGCCACCAGGACTCCTTTCTACCTTATTATTAGACCTTATATTTTCAGGGAAAGCAACAGTCCCAGATTTAAAAAATACATTTCACCTCATCTTTTGATAAGTAAGATGGCCAATAACATACAAGTTAAGTCATTAATTGTGACTTGCAGGAAGTGAGATGATTCAATTGGAAGACAAATTCCCTTTTGCCCTTCCTCCTTGATGCTTCTCTAGATCTCAGACAAGTTCTCCAGAGCTCCAACAGCCATTCTGTGACCATGATCATACCACAAGAACAGAAGTGAAGAGATCAGGAGGTGAGAGTACTTCTCTGCTTTTTTTTTTGTTTGTTTGTTTGTTTTGTTTTTTTTCTTTTAAGATTGCTTAGGCCATTTGGAGGCTGTCATGGATTGAATTATGTCCCCTAAAAAATGTGTATATCAATTTGGCTGGGCCTTGATTCCTGGTATTGTGTGATTTTCCTATATGTTGTAAATCCTGCCTCTATGATGTTAATGAGGGAGGATGGGCTGGGCGACAGTTGTGTTAGTAACGCAGGACTCAATCTTCAAGATTGGATGGTGCCCTGAGGCAATATCTTGAGATATAAAAGAGACAAGTGAGCAGAGAGACAGGGGGACCTCATACCACCAAGAAAGCAGTGCCGAGAGCAGAGC